ACAGGACACCACCTTCCTCCCAGGGACTCAAGGTTTCCACACTAACTGGAAGAATTTAAAAAACATCTTCATGCCTTCAGGCTCGCCCAGGACTAATAAAAGCCAACAAGAATCCCCAAACCGAGGAGAAAACAACATTTTGTCACTGTTGGCACACAGACCAGAACTGGACAATATCCCGTTGTTCTTTCTCTCTATTTTTCACCATAGCAGCAGTATCATCGAGGAGACAGAGACAAAGGGCCAGGGAAATGGCTAGCACGCGCAGCCACAGATGTTGAATGCGATGGGCAGGATGCACAGCCATTCTGGAGTCCGTAGCCTTAAAGCGCCTGAGAGCTTTATGAATGTTTATATATACTTTACTGAGCATAACACTCAATTTGTTCTATCATTGCTGTGTATTAAAAAGTATTCAAAATATTCTGTATTTCACTTACCAAATACCAATTCTATATGAAGTGGAAAATGTTTGCCCGAATCAAAACAAAAGAATCCTCCCTTTCCATAGACAAGAGAGATGCACGGTCATCTTGATAAATAACATCCACTAAACATACCTATTCTTCACAATTGGCCTTTAGACTGAAGGTCTGATCACGACAAATCCTTGACTCTGAGCTGATAGTGAAAGACAATGAGTGTAATGTTAGCATATATCATCACACATCAGATGCAGGCTACCATCACCCTGCCCCAAAATTCTTGTTAAATTGTGGTAACTTAGTCCAGTTGTTGCCATTTTCATTCCAGCTCTGCCGGTACTGAATTGATGTGAGAGAAGCATAATTCAGCCTAGCTGCCTTTCTAAAAACCACTGTGCTTCTAATTTGTTCGCTATCCTTACTTTGCTCGTTTGATATTTACATCATGTTAAAATCCTGAAATAGTCGTACATTTACATATTGGAATGGCAAAGAACAGCAGAACTTGCATTTCTAGATCAAAAAGTAGTTTTGAACACAAAACTTGAAGAGTGCATTTTGCTTGGTGTAAGGTGGAGAGTAAAAACCAATAAATTACCAAGACTTTGGAAGAACCTTGGAGCCAAACAGCTGAAATCCTGCTGCAGAGTGAACTTAACTGCATGGAAGTGCTCTTCAATATCTTCATCAATGACACAGACAGCGGGATCAAGTGCACCCGCAGCAAGTTTGCAGATGACACCAAACTGAGTGGTGCAGTCAACACGCCTGAGTGACGGGATGTCATTCACAGGGACGTGGACAAGCTGGAGAGGTGGGCCTGTGTGAACCTCATGAGGTTCAACAAGGCCAAGTTCAAAGTCCTGCACCTGGGTCAGGGCAATCCCCGGTATCAGTACAGGCTGGGGGATGAAGGGATTGAGAGCAGCCCTGAGGAGAAGGTCTTGGGGGTACTGATAGATGAAAAGCTGGACACGAGCCGGCAATGTGCTCTTGCAGCCCAGAAAGCCAACCATCTCCTGGGCTGCATCAAAAGAAGCGTGGCCGGCGGTCGAGGGAGGTGATTCTGCCCCTCTGCTCTGCTCTGGTGAGACCCCACCTGGAGCACTGCGTCCAGCTCTGGGGCCCTCAGCACAGGAAGGACATGGACCTGTTGGAGCGGGTCCAGAGGAGGCCACAAAAATGATCAGAGGGCTGGAACACCTCTGCTATGAGGAGATGCTGAAAGAGCTGGGGCTGTTCAGCCTGGAGGAGAGAAGGCTGCGGGGAGACCTTATTGCAGCCTTTCAATACTTAAAGGGGACCTACAAGAAAGCTGGGGACAGTCTCTTTAGCGAGGCCTGTAGTGACAGGACAAGGGGTAATGGTTTTAAACTACAGGAGGGTAGATTTAGACTAGATATAAGGAAAAAAAATTTTCATGATGAGGGTGATGAAACACTGGAATAGGTTGCCCAGAGAGGTGGTAGATGCCCCATCCCTGGACACATCCCAGGCCAGGCTGGACGGGGCTCTGAGCAACCTGATCTGGTTGTAGGTGTCCCTGGCCATTGCAGGGGGATGGACTGGATGGCCTTTAAAGGTCCCTTCCGTCCCAGAGCATTCTAGGATTCTATGAAATAGCATCCTGATTTTACTAATATATGTACAGATTACAAATTTGGTTGGAGATGTAGTCCTCAAACTACATAACAATGCTATTATGTAGTATGATTATATATTGACCTTCTGCCATCCTGAAGCTTCATAGAAAGCTGAGAACAGGGTTTTACCTGAGACCTCCATTAATTTAGGTGTGTTGGTATTGTTAATCTAAGGAATTTGGGTGTAGTCTCTGAGGAGATTTGAAGCTTCTCCTTTTAAAAGCTAAGTAGACACACACATTAAAAAAACCCACCCAACCAACCAACAAACCACCAAGGCAGCTCCTCTCTTTCAAAGTGGAAATGAGCTTAGTCACAAAATGAAAAAAATGCATTTTTAACTAACTGTCCATTCCCCCTCGAAAAAGAAAAGCCAAGAGACCAAATGATGTGTTCTGTTTGGAAGTTAAAAATAACTGTGAGAGAAATCAACTGAGGTTTGCCTGGAGTCTTACCAGAAGAAAATTAGTGAAACTCACAAAAAGGTGAGAAGCTGAATGGTTGGCAACACACCAACCACTGGTATTGTAAACATGTTGAACTGAGTTACTAGCTTGCAAATTATGGAATTTAACGTTACTAAGAACAAACTCAGATTAGATTAAAAAAAAAAAAAAAGGCTGTGACCATAAGTTTTATTTTTTCATAGAAGGGAAAAAGTCTTAACAAGAAGAGGTGTCTCTCGGGCGCAGCAGAGTTCCCAGTCCTGCAGTTTTCTGTGGTTTGCAGGAGCCCAAGCACTGGCAGCCCGCAGCCGAGGGACAACCGCCACTGCCCAGGAAACGCCGGCTCCTCCAGTTACAGCAGCAGGGAACTGCCCTTCCGCTGAGACCTGGGGAGCACAGGGGATAAAGTCTCCATACTAAGTTGCCCAGTCAAATGTCTACGTGCCCATTAAAACTCCCTCATTTCATGGCCTAAGGACGGATTTTGACCTTGAACGCAGAAGATGCTTGCACAACCGCTGGCGCATTTTACTCTGGAAAACTGCAGGGGTCACCCTGCCACAGAGCGCAGCACATCGCTCGCAGGATTCGCTCCCAGCTTTTCCCACTCGGAGCAGCCCTGCCTTACCGAGCCCCGCCACAGGGGAGGCGACGCCCGGACAGCCCGACCCGGCGCCTTTCCCCGCTCGGCCGCGGCCCTCCGGGCAGCTGCAGGCCGCAGCACGACGGCGGCGCTTGGCGGGCCGCCCCCGGCAGCGGGGCG